CTTATTCTACTAAGTCATTTCTCCGGCCCCCACCTCAGACTATTTTTCAAGGACCTGATTGGTCCACAAAAGGGGCAGTGGGCACTGACATGGCTGATTACAGGTAGAATGAAGGTCCTCTTAACAATCTAGCAACTGTGTGAATCCAGAGGTGGGACGGGTCTCACACAGCACTGGGTCATACACGCAGGTCACTGTGGTCTCTGGTCTTGCCTGTCCTTCTCTCCACGTCCAGTCATCAGTTAGCACCACAAAGGACACAATCAATTTCTCCTTCCATGAGCAAAGAATTACTGTCTTGCTCCATTTCTCCAATCAGCATTCAGGACAAAGAAACCAATCTTGGCCAACAATATGAGACCCTGTGAACAGGAAGTCACTTCTCTGAGTTGTATTCGGGGCATAATTTAAACTGGAATGGACAGCACAAAAAATGACCCAAGTATACTGTAGCCGCTCCAGAATGGGAAACTAGGGACAAGAAGAAGAGCACTATGGAAAGCGGGAACTATGCTTTCTCTTCCATTAGCATCACCTTCACACCACAGCAAACCCCAAATTTGGAAGTCAAACCATCTTAAGATGAAGCCCATGGTAGCACATGCCTATGTTCTCAGCTACTTGGGCGGCTGAGGCAGGAGGACCACTTGAGTCAAGGAGTTTGACAACAACCTGGCAATATAGCAAGACCTCAAAAGGCAGCAGTAGTGAAATAAGAGAAATAAAAGTTTTAAAAAGACGAGGACTTTCTGTGATGTTAGGCCTCTCTTTGTAAAACACAACAGTTAGGTTATCGCTTTTCACAAGTGAAGGAAGAAAACACTTACTTTCACGAGTGAAGGAAGAAAACATACACAAATAGAATAGTTGAGGTGACTATAGGTTAGGGTGTGTGTCTAGAACAGATTTCCTGGCTCCCCTGCTGTCCTCAGGAAGTTAGTTGAACTCTAGCTCTGAATTCCATTCCTACAAAATAAAGATAATGACAGCGTTCTCTTCTGAGGGCCAGTGTAGGTATGAAGTGAGACAGCCACAAATAACAATTGTGGTATTTAATTTTTCTCCTCCTCCTTCTTTTCCTTTTTTTTCTTTTTCCTCTTCATCGCCTCCTCTTCCTCCTTTTTCTTTCTCTCCTCCTCCTCCTCCCCCTTCTCCTTTTTTCTTTTTTAAATGGCAGCAGTTCAACAAAGCCAGCACTGTTAGCTTTTATGAAACCCCTCCCTGAACATCCTCCCTGAAACTCAGCATCACCAGAAAGCAGAAGCCTTCTGCGTGGTGACCACGGCAGGCGGGAGCAACTTCCGGAAACGCCTGAGGAGCTGCGCAGAGCAGTGATCTGACGCGGGAGCGCGCATCACTAGAGGCACTATTTCAAGTTATAAACGTCATACACCTGATCTGTTGTACTCTCACATTGAAGAAAATCCTGATTCTGGCCACTATACCATTGTTCCTATGGGGAGATAACTTTTATTCCAAAATAGGTTTTCTAAGAGCTTTTAAGAGCTACGTGATTTTTTATTCCTTGGAATAAATATAAAACTGAATCTACTACCCAGGCATAGTGGAGCACCCCCATAACTCAGCACTCTGGAAGCCTGGGTCAGGACAACTACAAGTTCAAGTCCAGCCTAGGCAGTATAGCAAATTAGTGAATTCCTGTCTCAAAATAAAAAATAAAAATGGTCTATGTCAGTGCAGAGGCCCTGAGTTCAATCTCATCTGCCACAATTAATCAATCAATGAACTGATAAATAAATACATGCATACATACTTCCTTTTTCAAATAGGCAACATTTCCTTCTCAGGGATACAGCTTTGCTGGGGTCACCTCATCAGCAAAAATGGAAAGTAGGAGCCAGGTATGGTGGAGCATCACAAGCTCAAGTCCCACCTGGACAGCTAAACTACTAGTGAGACTGTGTCTCAACTGAAAAGTTCAAAAGGGCTAGGATGTAGCTCAGTGTTGAGAGCCAGGGCCAATCCCCAGTACCACACACAGGGGTGATGGGCAGTGCTACTCACTCAGATTGTTATTGTTTTCAAAAAAGTTACAAATTCCAAGTTCCATTACTACATTGCGCTGCTCTCCAATAGTCTAAAGATAAATATCAATGTAAAGATAGCACCAAAGGATCATTAAGGTTATCAAGCTTATGTTTTTGAGAGAGGGTCTCAGCATGTGGCGCGGGCTGGTCCACAATCCCCAGACTCAAGAGGGGCTCCTGCCTCACCGTCCTGAGTATCTTGGACCACAGACGAACCTGGTTCTCAAGCCTTGTTTTTATGTGCCCTCCTGGTGAGCCAGGCAACTTTTACACTTTCAATCTCACTAGTACCAAATGCCAAATATTAAAATTGTACAAGAGGCTAAGTATGACCGCAGTGACTGTCTCTGGCTCACCTGTTGCAGGTCTCCGGTGGAGACGCTACTAAGAAAAGTGCGGATAACCATGAAGCAGCTGATGTAGCAGAGCACCCCAGACTTCCCTAGCTC